ATCCCGTACGTGTAATAAAACTTCTCTTACTTTGGTCTGGCCCGACACCTTCCAGGGGTAATTTCGTCTACTGACAAACGCGGTACCCAGGTTCAAAAACCACACTTTTTCTTTACTAAATTTGTAATTACTAAATTCGTTAACAAAAATGAAAGCAAATCCGGCCGAACGGGCACGCAGTCCGTATAGGCTGCGGAACCACTTCAGGATTGTGATAAAGGGCGACCTGGTAGAAAGCAAACTTTTGGGAGCAAAGGCATTGCCAGTGAAGAACCGGGCGCTGGGTTTTAGAACTTCAGTCATATCAGTTAGAGATGAATTGGATTTCAGCAGCAAATTTTATCAGCTACTACAGTTGCGAATATATTGTCGACGCCCGGCCAGTCCTATCGACAGTCAATTAACATATTGGGTAAGCTTTTGGTATTCACTAAAAGTTCCACCACACACGTGTGTACACGTATCAGTTTGATATCGCGGGGACAAGGGATGTGTTCTCGTGTTTCTTTCGTGCTGTCGAGAAACGGAAATTTCTCGAACTCGAAATAACAGCATGGTGGAAATTGCTTGTACACAAAATAAAATACAAAAGCACATATAAATAATTTACGACTAAATGGCCCAAATCCCTTCGTTTTTTACTGCTTGGTTTAATAGATGGGTGTTAAATGATGCTTTGTCGCTTTGTTTTTTGTTGTCGACTTGTGCAGGACGATCAGCGATTGCCTTGCTTTCTTTCCTGCTGGACGATTGAAGGTTTTGTTGCGTATTCGTCATTTACGTTACTGAAGGTTCATGTTGTGTGCGTTGAATAAAGGTTTGATAACCCGAATTTGGGGCTTGGTTGTTCGAACTGGCGACACCGATTAGAGAACAGTTGGGATCAATTCGATATTTGGCGAACCTGTTGTGGCTTGAAATCACCTTATTGATACTGGTCAATTTTTTGACGCCATCAACAAGTGCGGACTTGCATTTCGATAGTAGAAATGTGCCGGCAGAAAAGGAACGACGGGTATCTGCGTTCCACGAATTCAAACGCAAAAATTTGGATTTCTTTCCGTTTATTCTGTTTAAGGACTAGCTGTCTCGACGTGAAACTTGAAGTTCCGACTGAACACGTACATGTCCAACTTATATGACTTCATGGACCGAAACGTCTTAGCTCGCGTTTACTCCCTACCTACATTGCTTTTGTCTACTTCCACATCTTATCATCTCTACCTCCAGGATTGACCTGGAGGCTGCAACCTAATTAGTTGAGCAGTCCTTTCCAAGCCTCTCGGAAGAATAAAGGGAAATGATTAAATTTTTATTGAGATCGCATTGTTTTCGAAAGGCATGATGCTCCAATTCGTTGCTAGAACATGCTGATAGTGAGTGCAAGTAATTCGAGCTTCGGCAGAAAAACAAACTTGCGAACGCACATGCGGACTTGTTGAAGAGGACAGCCTCTTCAAAGCAAAAGAAAACTAGAAATAAAAGGAAAAAGTTCAAGTGTAATGTTCAAATACAGATCATTAATCATCATCCGCATTCGACGAAACAGTAATCGTAAAACGGTAAACAACAGTGTCGTTCATTTCAACAACAAATAAATCAACAATAACTGCTGAAACAAGGGGCAGCACCAAATTCAACGAAAAACGCCCGGGAATGGTTTAGCCCCTCTCTCAAAAAACAGTATAAAAGGGGGTCAGTTCCTCAGTCTTTTCACTGTTCTTTTCAACAACGACGGTGTTTTCCCCTCATCAACGACGGCATATTCTCTGCGGCGATGGACTTTATTCTTCTTCCTTCACACCGACAACGACGGTATTCTTCTTTTTGTCTATAACAACTTCAACGGCGGGCTATATTTTTTCTTTCTTCAATGGCGTCAACGACAGGACTCCTTATTTCTTCATCGACGAGGTTAGCGGCATCGTCGCTGAAGCCGGCCTATACAATACCAGCGAACAATTCATCTGTAATTCTTGGTGAGATTTATTTCTTAAAAATTTGTTCACCACATTTGTATTGGTGTGAAGCCGTTTTGAGCCTTGTGGTTTTCAATGAGACAATGAAACCTGTTGATTC